GACAAAAGGTACGGAACCTTTTGTCATTGTCGATTATCTTTTCTCTCTCCTCTATTAGCCATTTTTCCCTTCATTTTTTCTCTCTCCTCTTCTATCCATAAAAAGTGCCACATGCATGCGGGCTCTGAATAAAAAGAAAATTAGCTATCTAAAACTCTTTTTAATTTATTCATGTATAGAGCAAAATTAAAGACAATAATAACAGATTATTAATGAAAAATTCTTACATTTGGATTGTAAGTTATTTGGGATTATTTGAGATATTTTTACTGTAGCACTTTTTGTGATGTGATGTATGTGAGATAAAAAGATATTGGGAAGATAAAAAGGTGTATTGAAAATTGTAAAGATGATGTAAGCAAATAAAATTGGGGAAATATGAAGCAATCCAAACAAACCATTGTAATTTGAGCAACAGTAAAATTATCTTCTCGGATTTTCAAGTGTTCAAGAGGTGCACCATGGTGCTTCTTTACCATATCCATACATTTTTTAAGGCGATCTTTCAATGTTATTTGAAGCACTTTGTGGAATTTTTATGATACTTTTGGTTGACAAAGAAAAATTTTAAAAGCTGTTGGATCTGTTGAAATGAAAGAGAAAAAATAGGCTGTAATTGGATGGAAGCATGAAAGAGAAAAAATAGGCTAAAAAGCATCAAACACCCCTTTTTAGGGTTAATCATATTTAATACCCTTAAGGTATATCCCATTTTTCAGTTTACCCCCTAACCTTTAATTTTGTTCACTTAATCCCTTATAGAATAAAATTGTCCTTGCATTATTTTGACTTTTCATTTACCTTGTTTTCTTTTCTTCTATTTCTTTATTTCTTTTTTCTTTATTTAATTCATCCTCTTCCCTATGAAAAATTTCACATTAATGATTGAAATTAAAAAAGAGGCATTGCAGAGATCCATCTTCTCCTTAAATAATTAAAAAAATATTCAAATCACTTTCCTAAAATACAATTTTTTTAGCCTTTCAATTCTTTTAATTTTGAATTTTTCTCTTTCCTTTCTAGTTTCTCATTTTATTTTCAAGAAAATATCTTAAAATGAAATTATGACCTGATTAATAATCATCAATTGAAATTTGTGACACGTGGCATCATACAAAAATCAAAATTAGTTTTTGATATTTTTTAAATTTTCACAAAAAAATATGTAATTACAAACTCAAAACAAAAATTTTCGTTGAAATGAAATTTTCTATTGGGAAGGATGAAAGAGAGAATAAAGAGAAAAAGAAATAAAAGAAAGGAAAATAATTTCATCTTATGATACTTTCTTGATAATAAAATGAGAAATTAGAAAGGAAAGAGGAAAATTCAAAATTGAATATTTTTTTTAATCATTTAAGAAGAAGATAGATCTCTGCAATTTCTCTTTTTTAATCTCAATCATTAAGGTGAAGATTTTTGTGAAAAAAAGAAAGAATTAAATAAAAAAGAAAGAGAAAAACAAATAAAAGAAAAAAAAATAAGGAAAATAAAAAGTCAAAATAATGCAAGAACAATTTTGTCCTATAGGGGTTTAAGTGAGCAAAATTAAAAGTTAGGAAGTAAACTGAGGAATGAAATATATTTTAAGGGGATTAAATGTGATTAACCTATTTTATAGCTCATTGAGGGACATTTTAGTCGGCTAAAACAAACGGCTCTCTTCCCATAGTAATTTCGGCATCTCGACGTTTTTAACGGTGCAATTACTTAGCTGGATTGACGAAGGGGATAAACTGTGAAAAAATAAATATTATGGGGTAAATTGAAAAATGACACATACTTAAAGGGGATAAAATGCTATTAACCCAAATTTTTGTGATAGCTAACTACTCTAAAAAGTAGATAGTTGCAATCAGTTCAATCAGGAAGAGTTCTGCAAGTTGCAAAGCCAATGAGCACTGAGCAGTGACTCACCGACAGGTTCCCGAACCCACCCCACCAATTAAGTTAGTTGTAGTTAAAAGCCCAGTAAGTAGTAAAAACTATTCCCCCGTTGCTTCGCCCGCCCTCAAACGGTCATTTTTTTTGTCAAAATCATAAATCTAATCCCAGAACAGTTCTCAAAAGCCGACAACTCTTGAAGGTGTCCCAAGGACTTATAACCTAACCCAAACCCAACCCCAACCCCGATGTGAGATAATCAACCTCCACAAAGGAGCCTGCCCTTCGGCGCGAATCTTTTCGCCCGTAACTATTCGGACCCTCACTCCCCGTGATAAGCTGACTGTCTTCTCTCAACATTGTTGTTGTTTTTTTGTCAAAATCATAAATTTAATCCCAGAACAGTCCTCAAAAGCCGGCAACTCTTGAGGGTGTCCCAAGGACTTATAACCTAACCTAAACCCAACCCCAACCCCAACCCCAATGTGGGATAATCAACCTCCACAAAGGAGCCGCCCTCAAACGGTCATTTACCAAGTAGTAATACTACTAGAAGTGGTAGTTGGATAAAGGACCTAAACCTAGCCGTAACATCCTGGCTATTCGTACATAGTCCAACTTTCTCATTTGATTTCCCTCACCTCCCTTACTCTTCCCTGCGCAATCCCATGGCCGCCTCCGTCGCCACCGCAGCAGCCGCCGCCGCCGCGGCCTCCCAGAAGCTCTCTCCGCTTACAACCCCTCCTCATGACAAGCCCTTCTGCTCTTCCTTCTCAAAAACCCTCCTAAAACCCTGCCACCCCGTCACCCACACTCGCAAAGTCCACTGGACCGGTGTCTCGGCCGCTTCCAAGAATCCTATCTCCGACGTCATCTCCGATGTCTCCGACGATTATGACGACAAACCCAGAGAGGAGTGCGGCGTGGTGGGCATCTATGGCGACCCCGAAGCTTCTCGCATGTGCTATTTAGCCCTCCACGCCCTCCAGCACCGCGGCCAAGAAGGCGCCGGCATCGTCTCCGTCCATGACAACGTCCTCAAATCGATTACTGGAGTTGGTTTGGTTTCTGATGTCTTTAACGAGTCCAAGCTATCCCAACTCCCCGGTGACATGGCCATAGGCCATGTCAGATACTCCACCGCGGGCGCGTCCATGCTGAAGAACGTCCAGCCGTTCGTTGCCGGGTACCGATTCGGCTCGGTTGGGGTTGCCCACAATGGCAATTTGGTGAATTATCAATCCCTTCGAGCTCGGCTCGAAGAAAATGGCTCCATTTTTAACACTAGCTCCGATACGGAGGTGGTTCTTCACCTTATTGCGATATCGAAGGAGAGGCCGTTCTTTATGAGGATTGTTGAGGCGTGCAGGGAGCTGGAGGGAGCATATTCGATGGTGTTTTTGACGGAGGATAAGTTGGTTGCGGTTAGGGACCCTTACGGCTTTAGGCCGCTGGTTATGGGCAGGAGGAGCAACGGTGCCGTGGTGTTTGCCTCGGAGACTTGTGCTTTGGATTTGATAGAAGCTACTTACGAGAGAGAGGTGATGCCCGGTGAGGTATTGGTTGTGGATAAAGACGGGGTTGGACCCCTTTGTCTGATGTCTCATCCGGAGCCCAAGTCTTGCATCTTTGAGCACATTTATTTTGCTTTACCCAATTCAGTAGTTTTTGGGAAGTCCGTTTACGAGTCTAGGCGGGCATTTGGGGAAATTTTGGCCACTGTATTCCCCGTTGATTGTGATGTGGTGATAGCTGTGCCTGACTCTGGAGTTGTGGCTGCACTTGGTTACGCTGCAAAAGCAGGGGTTCCGTTTCAACAGGGGTTGATAAGGTCGCATTATGTTGGGCGGACATTCATTGAGCCTTCGCAAAGGATTAGGGACTTTGGAGTCAAGCTTAAGCTTTCGCCAGTGAAAGCGGTTTTGGAAGGGAAGAGAGTTGTGGTTGTAGACGATTCGATTGTGAGGGGAACAACTTCTTCCAAGATTGTTCGGCTGATAAAGGAGGCAGGGGCTAAGGAGGTGCATATGAGGATTGCTAGCCCTCCAATTATAGCTTCTTGTTATTATGGTGTGGACACTCCCAGTGCTGAAGAATTGATATCTAATAGAATGAGTGTGGAGGAGATTAGGGAGTTCATTGGATCAGATTCACTTGCTTTTCTTCCAATTGATAGCTTGAAAGAGCATTTGCGGGAAGACGCACCAAACTTTTGTTATGCTTGCTTTTCTGGTAAGTACCCAGTTTTGCCAAGGGGAAAGGTGAAAAGGGTGGGTGATTTTCTTGATGATGGATTGAGTGGGAGTTTGGAGTCTATTGATGGAGGTTGGCTTTCTGGAACCAGAAATTAGAAGCAAAAGGATACCCGATCACCCACCTAGTTTGATCGGGTCCAATTTGGGGGTTTAGCAGAGAGAGGGGGGAAGAGGAGAGACTATTATTACAGAAAATAAAAGTAGAGAGAGTTTTGACACCTACCTTTGTAATCCATCTTATACGGGAGCTTAGGATGATTTTGAACTTACTAGATTTTATTCTTTTGTTCTTTTAACATTTTGTGGATAAGCTTCTGTTTTATCATTTGTGTGCGTCGAACAAACTCCCGTCTCACGTTTGAACAAACTTTCTTAAACCTTTGAACCATCTCATTTCTCTCCACTTCTGTTTCTCCACCCAATTATCACAAACAAGAGAATTTTTTTTTCCATCACTGCTGTTGAGAATGCTCTACCATAATGTTGTAAATTGTAATGTTAAAATAAAGTTGAAGTTGCTCCAGTGCAAGGTTGTGATTGATGATGAAATTCTATAATGATGAAGATAAAGAGTTCGAGCAACAAGAAAATTTGTAACCCCTGCTGCGGAATCTGTATGACTCTTTTTAACAATTTTGTCTTCAGAGAATGTAAGCCAGTGATTTATGTTACAGTTCATTCTCAAATGATAGGCTCGGATTTTTTATGACAGCATGGAGGATGGATGGTTTGTGCACATTCGGTTTCGAACGCAACGTATTCGATATTTCTTTCATTACTTATCCAGGCTCTTCAACAATATGATTCAATTCTGCATAAAATACTGAACCCTTAATCAACATAAATAATTGAATTGAAAGATGAGAAGGAAGTAGACGCTGTGTTTTTCTGTATAAATCTCATATGCTGATACAAGAGAATGTTGGACGTGACTTGAAACCTTACAGAGTATGTATCTCGAGAGCATTTGAGCTACAAAACCTAGACGAAATGCTTCAAATAAGATTAATACACGGACGGTGCAATCTCATTTGCAAATTCTCAAATTCAGAATCGCTGGAAATCTTTAGAATGAATAGCAGAACAAAAATGTTACTCGCACAAATTTAAGGCTCGTTTTCCCCAATGAAGCCGTCCATTGCAGAAAATACAAGGGATAAATTTCATCCGGCTTTTGAGCAGCAGATTGCTGTCCTGGCATTATCCCATTACTAACTCATTGAACAAGGAATAGCTATTGTCTTGTGTGGATCGAACCTAATATTAGCCATTTTCAGCGCTGTCATAGGCATTGGACTTGTGCTTTGGTGAGAACGTAAATCCAGCTGGGACCTTGCCAAGTAACATCTCAGAGATTCTAATCTGCGCACGAGTAGGAAAGCCAAAGCAGGTGAATAGCTGTAGCAAGATGGTACTGAAATGAAAAATTCATTAAAAATGAGCAATCAGGATGATATACCCAATCTGCAGCTGAATCAGAAGCCATCAGTGTTTCAAGGTCATCCCGACCATAGTACGAGGGAGGCCGCCAGTTTATTTTTTGGGGGATCACATCTAAGAGACCAACCGGTATATACCTACAAGAGTAACTTAGCCATTCCAACAAGAAATGCCTAGTTGTTTCCACACCTGCGATAGTCAAGGTTAAACATGAGGATGCCAAATCTCCTACCTTACAAATGCTTTGAGAAACTACTCAGAACTTAAAATAGCTAGTAGCTGTGTGCTCTCCAACTTCATGTCTTTTCAGTCCATGAAGACACCTTCCCAAATTTGTAGTTCATCCAATATCGGATTAAACTGCTTTTCAATCCACAAAGTTGACATTTTAATTAGCATTCACTGTCAAAGTCATATTTTTTGTTGTCCTCGTTTCTTCTTAAGCCAAAGCACAATAAAATTAAGCAGGAAAGTCATTTTTGCAGTCAACAGGAGGACAGACTTGCATTCCATTTTACTTTAAGCAAATGCATGGTACATACCTTTGGAATCAGATCCCCAGTGTTGAAGGCCAAAATGCACATAATCCTTGAAAATATCAAGACGTTCAGCAGAACTAATATCCCAATGTCTCTGTTCCTTTATTTCAGTAAAAATCCAGGGCTGCACAAGTTCAAAAACCATTTATTTCAGCACAAAACTGCAGTAAATAAAAAAGATAACATTTTACGCTTCCAGTTGATCGTCAAAATGTAGCACAAACCTTAATTAGGGCTCCTCGAGCAACCATACAAGCAGAAAGCTGAGGACAATCAAACTTGTGCTTATTCCAGTCTAAATAGGAGAACACATCCCCATTTCCAAGGACTTGCAATGAATCTGGGGCCTTTTGTGCACACTGGTATATGTATTCCCAATCAGCAAGCTTGCTGTAACGTTGCTGACGCGAACGACCATGTATAGTCACTGCACTTGCTCCCCAATTTCCAATATCTTCAATCACAGAATCAATGCGATTTCTGCCCTCAAAATAGCCAGTTCGCACCTACATCACACAAGTTATGCATCTGATAAGTGTTCAGTAATACTATGAAAGAAGTACGTAATCAGACGCAAATCAGAAGATTCCAGAAAATTGATTCCCATAGCAGAAACACAAGGCATATGCATCAAAACTATAGGTGCATCAACATAACGTCTAAAAGAGTGGCAAATGAAAGATTTGACAAGAATACATCTATATCTTCATATCACAGGGCAAGAAATTGCTGAAATTGACACCAAAAAAGGTCAACTTACTATATTAAACCATACCTTGATGGTTATTGGGGTATCAACTGTTCCAGAAGCTGCTTGTATGACACTCTTCATTCGCATTGGTTTTGTAAGAAGAGCGGATCCAGCGCCCTTGTTAACAACAATATCAATGGGACATCCCATATTAAGATCAATAAAATCCACCGAGCATTCCTGCTCTATGAGTTCAACAGTTCTTGAAACTGTATCAGGATATGCTGCACAAATCTGAACACCAAAGAGGTCCTCAGACGAATGACGCCTCAGTAGTGCCCATTCTGAAGCTTGCCCCTGCTCCCATGGGCCAAGATAAGGTAAGTACCAAGCAGCTAAAGATTTTCATTGCAGAAAAGAAAAAATTGGACCTGATACAGGTAAAGAATATGAACACATGTATCTTTTATTTGTGTACAAAATAATCCCAACACGTAGGTGACATGAGTAACTCAAGACTAAAAGAAGGTTCGCAGAGTATATAAAACAAAAATGACCCTCAATTAGGGAAATAAAGATCAAAGTCAAAGTACTTGTACAAGTATATCCGTATTCAAGAACAACAAATCATCTGTATTGTTATCTCATCACACAAATAAGAATCTAGTCAGTAAAACAGCATGGTAACCTGCAAAAGATTAGTGCACATTGCCATCTCGCCACATGTCACATCAGCTCCAAGCAATTTGCAAACCCTTCGGAAAGGTAGATTCCCCACAGTAGTCAGAGGTGCAAGATAAAGCTTTTCTCTGAAGTCAATGAGCTTTTTCTCGCGTGGGTGTAATTTTAGGATTTTATCAGACTCTACAGTAACAGTATCAGCAATATCAACCGATTTTGATCCATTTGGTTTGGAGCTAATATCCTCCTTCCCATGCACACCATAACCTATTCCAATAAAATTTTCAACTGCTAGTACCCCAGAAATATGGTGAAAATGAAATAAATCAATACCAAAAGTAGACAAACCAGCATTTACTTCAGTGGAGCCATAAGATTCATCACTTGAAGATTTTGCCTTCTTGACAGGTCGTATATCTTCAGTTGCATCAGCATCCTCTGGCTTATCCTCTTCCAGCAATTCAGAACAGCAATTCACATCACTAACAGAACCAATTTCAGCAGAATCTTTTTTAGCATTTTCCTCAGCAGAGCCATTTGTAGCAACTTGATTGTCCTCGGTGTCCACCAATTTTTTTATTTTACCCTGTCCCATCATTTAAAAAATACTCTCAATCATTACACAGACTAAACTAAAGGGAACTTGATGAAGTCCAATCTCACAAGGGATGATCCTTCAGTTATCATCAAAGCACAAACATAATTAAACGAAAACCGAATGACCCTTTTTTTCCCCTTACTGAAAGGCCAAGAAGCTTGAGGGTAGCGTCAGCTTTGGGGAACCTCATCTTATTCTTCCAGAGAAGCTTTTGGACATCCTTATTCAACGAATTAACTTCATTCCTCAGAGTCCCAGCAGCAACAACACCATTAGCTGTATGAGTGCCGGAGAATCTACAAGCCAGCCCATAAGGACAAAGTCCTTGATCAATCTTCAAAAAGGGGCAACTGCCCTTCAAATCGGCCGGCTTCTGAGCATTGAACGCCTCCACATCATGGCTAAACCGGCACTTTTCACCGTAACAACAAGAACCCACATCCCCGCTCTTGGCAACCTCCGGACACAAGTGCAATGCAGATTTTAATTCCTGCAATCAGCATTCACATTAACCAATATACCCAGTAGTTAACTGCCTTGTGTTCCTCATCTTAAATGCCCATTCCCACCCCCCCAACCCCCACACCCGCGCGCACACACAAAAAAAGGAACATAATAATCACAGCAATTCACGTTCTATTCTTAATTTATCTGCATTACTAAAAAAAGATTTTAATCTCTCGTTTTCAGGGATTATGAAATACTAGTATATGAAAAAGTACGAGTACTTGGCGGCGTTCACGTTTGAGCTGGCGTTTGGACTTTTTCTCTTTGATAAGAGGAGCGGAGTTGGGCTCCGTTGCGGCGTCGTGATGTTGGGACGTGGTGGAGTTGGATGTTCTGATTGGTGGTGGGCGAAGGAACTCTCTCTTAACTGGAGCTATGGCTTTAGCTACTAACTCTTCTGGGGTGAGCGGAGCCGGAGCCGGAGCCGCGGCTGGAGCTGAAGCATCATCATCAGGTTTTGAGTTTTGGGGATTCTCCCGGAATGAGGGTTGCTCCAGAACACTGGCCTCAGCTGCAGACCCGTCCATAACGGGTCGGGTTAGCAACGAGAGGGGGGCGCCTGCGAGGAATAGGTAGGGTTTTTGGGTTCTAGCTCATGCTACAGCTCAAAGCAACAGTGGAATGTGGAGGTGTCGCCAGGAACGGCGTCGTCTAATGTCCAGGACGAATGATCTGGTCCTACTATTGGGCTTTAATATTCAAGAACTGCTCGCTCGTATAGTGGGCCGCAGCCCTTTGGTCGGACTTCTTTTTCACATTTCATACAAGTCTACAAGAACATTGACCCCAATTTAGTTTTTGGCAATTTCTGTCCTCTCATTATTTTAGAGTTTTGAAATTAAAAACGAGAGAGAGATTGGCACACTCCTATTTTAATTTTTATGTATTGTATAAAATCTTCGCACTGAGCTTTTTTCTGAAGCTCTTTTACTTGCAATATCTCGTTTTAAGCCTTGAGTCCAAATATTCTCCTGGAAGCGTTGCCAACACACGTAAGCCGTTTTGATTGCAACCCCCTTTTTTTTTTTTTTGGAGTTTTTGTAAGAAATTATATGATTTGATGCATGTGAAATTAAACAAAAAAAAATTGAAAAATGTGTCAAGAAAATATTTCAAAAACTTTCATGAAAACTCAGCAATCAAATAGCCTACCCTAGGTGTTTATGGCGTTGGAACTTTGTTTATGAACTCCTTAGTTCCTGTCAGTTTGGATTACTATGTTTAGCAGTTCGTATAAAAAGGAAAAAAAAATGTACTGCATCGATTTAATGTATGTGAGATAAAAATGAGCATTAAAAAAATTAAAAAAAAAAACTATACAATTGAAATGAGCATTAAACGCGAGACAGAGGCAATTTAAAAAACATCACACCCTATGTTTTCTTGTTGTCATCAGATGGCACTATTGAGTTTTATGCAAATCGGCATTAAACGCGAGACAGAGGAGTTATTTTGTAGAATTTAAACGCACATTTTTATCTTCCCAATTACCTTTTTATCTCACAGACATCACATCACAAAAAGTGCTACAGTAAAAAAATCTCAAATAATTTACAATCCAAACAGAGCTGTAAGAAGCAAAAGAGATCCAAGATTAAAAGAAATGAAAAAGTGAACAGTCCTGTCAGAAGTGGGATTTGAACCCACGCCCTCTCACGAGGACCAGAACTTGAGTCTGGCGCCTTAGACCACTCGGCCATCCTGACAGTTGATGGTTGATCGTGCTCTCTATATTGATAATGATAATAAAAAAAATAATAAACTCTTACAGATTTTCCTAAATACCAGTAGCAATTTTTTTAATTGTTAGTGGTCGTGGGAGTTTCATTCTCCGTTTACGGAAAGCAGCATAGTCAAAGGCGACGCAATTAAAAAAGCATGTACACGTGAGGAGTCCTTGACCATTCACCAAACGGCCTAAAGCACATATTCATTCGCACACGATTGGTAGCTGGCTTCTCTCCTCGTTTGGCTTTCTAAGTTTATTGATTTTACCATTTTATCCATCCGCTTGAAAGTTGCTGCAAAAGCACTTTGGACAGGGTTTTTTTCCAAAAAAAAAAAAAGGAAACAATAATAATGACATGCAAGTTTGGAAGAACGATTATTATTAATTGTTTCCCCTTAAATTAATAGAATACTCGGGACGGACGTTTGGATGATTTTAATGGTAATAGAAAAAGGGGTTGTCAATTTTAATACTCTACTAAAGAGTTTGGCGACGGGGGGGGCGGTGACTTCTTTTTTTTGTTTTTTGTGTCGTGTGAGATCGTGCAAGCCCTCGACTCGACCCGACCAGACCAGACCAGATTCCGCGGCTGTTTGCGTGTTAGGACGATTCTGGTATTTGAGCACGAAATCCCCAGTCCAAAAGCGAATAGACCAAGACGAATGCGTTGCCAAACTTCTCTTTGCAAAAATCGCATTGCGAAAACCACTTTGTAAACAACTATTTTGTCGCGCATTGCCAAACTCATCTTCTACACTTGTTATAACATCTTCTTCTCTGCTATCTTAATTAAAAGTAAAAAAGAGCTGCAGCCGCGTCCAGAAACATACTACTGCTATTATTATTGAACAACCCCTCCTCCACTCAAAAGCAGCGGAAACACCAAGTGAGATATTCATATACTACTGTTTGTTACACGGATACGAAGTAGTACAAAACCATGCAGGATTCGTAGGGTCGCTATGGAAACAAAATACTACTAACTCTTGTAGAATAGAAGTACCTTTCGGTTTGAAATGCAAAACAATGAATGAATGCTTTTTTTTTAAAATTTTTTTTAAAAAAAACTGATGAATGAAATCATATTGAGGAAAGCGCAAGATGAACAAAAAAAAAAGAAAGGGATATCAAGGACACCATCATCCACCAAATTTATTGGTTGGTTTCATGCTTGGCAGGCGTGCTGCCGCTCTGTTGCTGCTGTGGTGACTGAGATTGCTGCTGCTGCAGCTGGTGAATGTTAAGTTGGGCAGCCTGCTGATGATGCAACTGAAACATTTGAGAGCTCATGGCAAGCTGCTGCTGGTACTTGGAAGGATCACCGTTCAGCTCAGCAGTTGCAAGCTTCAAGCGCTGAACCTCCGCTGTTAATGCTTCATTTAATGCTGTGCCAACAACATAGCCAAGTTCAAATTCATATTTATTTTATGGTTTACACACACATATATATATATATATATATATATATGTGACACAGTGTGTCAGAAGATTATTAACTCTCCAAATGTCAATTGTAAGTACTGTTGCATAGAAAACAAGCAGACAATGATAAAACGGAACACTGGCACGCATGTATGTTCTCCGAGAAATTTACGGCTGCCACAAGAGTACGCAATACACGGTTGGTACAAGTTTCAGGGGAGCTGGGGGCATCGTTAAAGGAAAACCTTCCAATATAAATGGCCACAAACCACACAGGATTACATAAACTAATTTTTCAAAAAGAAATCCGAACTACCCAAGAGTACTTTCAGCACGTATTAATTTTGGGGGTAACTTCCAACATGGACTCAGCCTCCCAAATGACTCTGTTTCTGCAAACATGTATTAATTTTGGGGGTAATTGGTTCACCAACCATTAGTTAATTAATTTGTCCCTCAAAAAAAAAAAAAAACATTAGCTAGTTTGTCATTAAAGGAGAACAAAAGGCCCTCCTGGCAATCAAAACACATGCTGGCTCTTTGTGCTTTGCAAGAAGATAAAGAAAAAAAAAATCACAAATTTCAAAATAAAAATGCATGAATGTTGAATTCTGGAAATAACAGGAGGACATTACCATCTCGCAGCTGTGCCTGTTGTTCCATGGCTTGCAAGCGAAACTTCAATTCATTGTTCTGGCTGGTCAGTCCAGCAGAATCTCTCTGAAGAATGCACGTTTAAGCAATAATAATGATCAGACATACAGAAGGTGATAATACTTTAAAGAAAGATGTGCAAACACACAGTCCCGCTCTTTACCTGCAGTAGTGTTAGCTGGGCAGATAATGTGGTTGCTTCAGTCTGTAAAGTTTGAACCTTGTGCTCCAATTCAGCAATATATCTCATCTTTCTCTCCTTTGAACGAGCGGCAGACTGGCGATTGGCCAAAATCCTGTCACAAGATGTACGAATTCGTTAAGCTCGACTAATTAATCCTAAACTCCATGGAACAGCAGCAAGAAACCAAAAGCCCTGGTAAATGCAAAAGACGAATTTAGGGACTGAGTACCTCTTGGCCCTTTTAGGATCAGATAAAGCAATCTCAGCTAGTTTCTCGTTTGCCATAATCTTCTTAAGTTCTGCCCCGCTAAACTCGCCGTTTCCAAACTCCAAGCTGAAGGTATTTGAATTTGCATCGAGAGAATTGCTTGGTGACAGTTGCCCAGCACGAGCTCCTGGGGATGGAGGCATTTTTGGTGACTCATCACCAAAGTTTAACTTGCCCATGAAGCTGTCCATGGAAACGCTCCGATAGTGTCTTGAAGCTGGAGCGATATCTCCCCCGGCATTCCTTTTGAAACCCTCCCTCTTCTCACTTGAAGAAGAGATTCCTAATCTCTGCATGCTATTACTACTTTCATTTACACTGCTCGTCGCTTCATTATCACTGCTATCACCGCCATTTGTCCTTGTACCACTAGCTCTACTATCCAAATCTTCACGGTTCTCAGTGCCCTGCTTCTCATCAGTTCCAGAAGAATTCAGTGCATCTATGTTGTCCAAATTCATATAAGCAGAAAACAGGTCATCTACAACCTCCCCCTCAGATTTTCTCTCACCCATACCCTCTGCATTGGCCTCGCTACTTCTCTCCCAAAAGGATTCGCGTTTCACCAATTGTGCTGGCTTAGCAACTGAATTTTCTCTTGGAGGGATGGCAGCACCGGGACTGCGCAATGGCACGAGGGGCGGTGAGGATTGCATGATAGTAGAAAATCCAAATGGTATATCACTGTTAGACCGCCTGTGCGTCTTACGGGGAGGAAGATTTTCACCTACCCTTAAAGAATTTGCACCCCTAGTGAAAGGGGACGGTGGCAATAATGATGATTGTGAATTGGCATTTTGATCCTCCATAGAAACATCAACTGATAGATGATGTTCAGAAATGGAGCTCGGAGAGGATTCTTTACAAGGGGAAGGGCTCAAGGGAGGCAATGAATCGAGCGAGAAAAATGAAGGCTGTGACAAAGATCGTGCGTGCGAGGGCCCTGGACCTGAAGTATTACCAAAAATTTGAATACCCGATTGCTGATTTACAGGCCGGGTTACTGGGATCTGTGAATAGGGAGAAACACGGGGCATTTGAGGGTGTGAAGGCGGTATGCCAGCCCTTTTGCTACCATCAACACTAAAACTTGGAGAAAACTGCCGCATCTGACCTCGAAATTGCGAGGAATTCAACTGGGGCACCTCAATTTGATTCACGGACATGAGTAACTGTTGCTGCTGTTGCTGTTGTATAGGAACTGAAGATGATGAGGTACCAAATGATGATTGAAGCCTTTGCATCATAGCACTGCTAGCCTCATCACTATCACCACCCATTTGCTACGCAAAACAACCCAGCTTTAACACTAGTTTCAAACGGTCGCCGCTCGCTATAATTTATTCAAAAGCTCCTCCTAAAAGGCCTAACTTAAC